AGAATAGGCAGGGGTTGAGGTGTAAGGCAAAGGTTCCCCCTTTACAATCAATACAGATCTCAAATCTTCCATTGCCTACTTGCTGTACAAGCTGAGAAATTACTTAACCTCTCTAATCTCTAGCCTCCCCTTCACCTGTAAAGGCATCCTTCACCTGCCCCACTGTGTAATAAAGTTCTGAGCTAAACATCCATCCTGTGTAAGGATGGGTGTGTGGACATGTTCTCAATTTAGAGCCTCCAGTCCAGAAGGGGACAGCAGGAGTGCAGAGGTCTGTCCGTGCAGTGAGACAGAGACCGCAGGGTACCAGGAAGGAGCACAGGGTAAACAGCTTTAAAAAAAATATTTCTTTCTCAGACCAGCACTATTTCACTCTCTTAACATCTCCAGGAGAGGTACAGAGGGCAGTGGAATGATTGTTCCTGTCCTCAGAATCCAAGGGCTATAAGATTTACACAAAGGTCACATAAAAGCTGGTGGCAGAATGCAGACAGTAAGCCAGAGCTGCCGACATCCAGCCCTGGTTCTTCAGGGGGATTTTGATAGAAAACAAGCCTAAAATTAGCATCTGTCTCTGCTGCACATTGAAGAGAACCAAAACACTTGCTTTTAAAAATTATTTTTAAAACTAGCAGATGGCATCGGCCAGAGAGAGAGAAAGAGAGAGAGAAGTGAAGGAGAGATTTCATTTGCTTGATTTCTGCCTGGATGAACGCGACTTGCCTCCAAGCTCATGAGCAGAATCCCAGCCCGGGGGACGGCTGCACTACAGGGAATGCTCTGTGGTCCATTTCTAGCAATAACCACATGTGGGGAGGCTCAGAGATCCATTGCCCTTGCATGGTATGGAGGCTGGAGTTGGCCCCCAGCCCTGCTGCTATGAAGAGCTATGGTTGGCGTCTCAGTGTCCTTTCTGAGCAACTAATGACACCTGGCCTGTGCCAGGCTCTACTGCACCGCCAGAGATGCTGCTGAGAATAATCCCTGGTGTCCTGCGCTGAGGATTCCCCAGACATGTAGGGGAAACCAGATACATTTCCAAAAGGCATGGTCTCCCCAAATGGGGAGGAGGTAATTTTTAGGTAGCCCATGCATGCACGTAGTTTTGCCTTTACAATTGTGTTTGCCTTAATGCCTGCTCTGAGAAGCACAGCTAAACCATGTTAAGCTCCTGATTTTACGTCCATTATTGCAGAAGGGGGAGAATAAAATATTTGTAAAGAAATAAAGAGAGAGCCAAGTTTGGGTGGGACAAGATGACATCGAACTATGAGCGGTGAAAGAGAAAATAAAATTTCAGTCATATCCCAAGCATCTTCAAGATCTCAACCAGGGTTGTATAATTTGAAGTATTTTCAGAAACTAATATTTTTATTTATATACAATTATTTTTTTAAAAATCTAAAACTTCATAAATCATAAATGGAAATTCACTGTTTCTGTAAAAAAAAAAACTTGTATCTGGAATATATCATCTGTATGCTATTTCCAGCCTGGCTTTGGAAATCAATCCCTTAAATGGTTTGCTTTTTTAAAAATGTCATTTGTTGGGCTGGGGATTTAGCTCAGTAGTTCTGCTGCCTGCCTTGCAAGCGCAAGGACCTGAGTTCGATCCCTGGTACTCCCCCCAAAAATGTAATTTGTCTATGTGCTACCAAGTTCATCCTTTACTCCATGGTAAGGAACATCAAAGTTTGGGAAACACTACCAAGGCAATCCAGAATCAGTCTTGAGCAGAGCGTGAGTTTTAGAATTTCCACTGAGCATTTATTTTTGAAAGTCATGGTATTAGACATTAAAGGAGCCAAAATGATGAATATGCTGTAGGCCTTGCCCTCAGAGAATTTAAAATCCTGGTTAAAACAAACATAACTAATTCAAACCTTCGTTTAGGATAGACTGTGATAAAAGGAATTGCATAAGTGGTCCCAGGAGTAAACAACAGGGGTTTCAGCTAACTGCAAGGCCTTTCTCCCACTGCCTCCATTGCCTACACAATTATCCCACTCCTTAACTCCCCGGAGTTTGGCTTTGTTCTGTTCTCTTCCTATAAAATTACTGCAAATTCTGAAAAGATCTTTCTTATCATCACATCCTGTGGGTTTTTCATTTGGGCTTATTTGCTGGGCTCTACGATGTAAAAATCAGAAAGTACTGAGTATTTATTTGAGGTCCAGCTTGGCTCCCTCTCTCTCTCCCTCTCCCTCTCTGCCCCCCTCTCCTTGCATGGTTTCCTAGAGAAGACAGACACAGGTCGGAGCTTCCACTCTCGATCTCTCTGGGCTGATGAAACTTGACTTATATTTCTGTCCTCTCCCTCCCTCCAGGCAGCTCCAGCTGGCTCCAGGAAGTTTCTACGTGGGTGTTCCACTGTCATCTCCAATTAAAAGCTCAGAAAAGCAAACTCACCATTTTTCTCTTTAAACTATCCAGTCTGCTCACCCTTCAAGTGCTTCTCCGAAATTACTGTTGTTGTGACTCTTCATTACACCATTAACCTTGTCCTCT